GTGGGGGGCCACCACTGAGAAGGCCCTGCTYCTYGTCCCCACCAGCCTCACTTGTGATAGMGGTGGGGTCGAGAGCAGGGCCTCCCCAGATGATCTCAGATTCCGAGGTGGGAYGTAGAGGGAGATCCGTTCAGACAGATAYGCTGGACCRGAACCGTAAAGGGTTTTGTAGGTCAAAACCAGCACCTTGAATTGTGCTCAGAATTGAACCGGCAGCCAGTGGAGCTGACACAGCAGGGGGGTGGTGTGCTCCCTGTATGTCGCTCCGGTCAGCAATCTGGCTGCCRCTCACTGGACCAGTTGAAGTTTCCGAACAGTCTTCAAGCGCAATCCCACATAGAGTGCGTTGCAATAGTCTATACGGGATGTAACAAGAGCGTGGACCACTGTGGCCAGATCAGACTTCCCAAGGTACGGGTAAATCCCATGATAGACTGATCTTAGAGTCTCCGTAGGTTGGAAATGACTCAAATGCACACAGCTAGAACAACAACAACATCAATGGTTCAGAGATTATTCCGCACAAGGTTGACACAGCAGAGCTGTCAAGGATGGGATGACTTAAGGAGCGTTGTGGAATTAATGTCGTTTTGGCATCACGTTAACTGCCATGGCTCAATGCTATGGTGTCATAGGAATTGTAGTTTGGTGAGGCACCAGTGCCAGCGAAACAGGAATTCTAGTTTGGTGAGGCACCAGGTGAGGCAGAGAAGGCTAAAGGCCTTCCTAAAATGATAACTCCAATAATGTCATAGCATTGAGCCATGGCAGTTGCAGTGGCGCCAAACTGCATTAATTCTACAGTTCTATCTTGGGCATCTTTCAGTCACTATTTATTTATTTATCGTGTCAGGAGCAAGCCAAACAGTTGTATTGCATTTTTAACAAACAAACAAACAAACAAACAAAAAAACAAAACACAAAGTTTGCAAGCTTGGTATTCTATTAAATGTCCTTTGACCAGTATCTGGCCACTTGGAGTGCCTCTGGTGTTACTATAAGGAGGTCCTCCCTTGTGCATGTAGCAGGGCTCAGGTTGCTTTGCAGCAGATGGTCTGTAGTTTGCTCTTCTCCACACTTGCATGTCGTAGATTCCACTTTGTAGCCCCATTTCTTAAGGTTGGCTCCGCATCTCATAATGCCAGAGCGCAGTCTGTTCAGCGCCTTCCAAGTCACCCAGTCTTCTGTGTGCCCAGGGGGGAGTCTCTCATTTGGTATCAGCCATGGATTGAGGTTCTAGGTTTGAGCCAGCCACTTTTGGACTCTTGCTTGCTGAGGTGTTCCAGCGAGTGTCTCTGTAGATCTTAGAAAAATATTTCTTGATTTAAGTCGTTGACATGCTGGCTGATACCCAAACAGGGGATGAGCTGGAGATGTCTCTGCCTTGGTCCTTTCACTATTGGCTGCTACTTCCCGGTGGATATCAGGTGGTGCAATACCGGCTAAACAGTGTAATTTCTCCAGTGGTGTAGGGCGCAGACACTGGATTGCCATTAGTTGAAATCAACTTGACAGCAGTTAGTACCAACACATTTTCTTCCCTGTTGATCACAATGCAATGGAATTTTGCAGTGTACACTCAACATATTTTACCCTTTGCCTCTTTTTGCCCTTTTTCCTCGGTGTCCACAGCCTACCCGAACATGCCTCTGAAAACCCCTTTTACTGAACCCTCCACATCTGGAGAATTGACTCAGGAGAGCAGGACTCTCAAGCATTGCAGTGGGATGTCCCCAAAACCAATGGAAAACCTACCACTGATGACTGACAGCTCTTGTTTCCTCCCATGGTGACATAGACACACAGCATTCTTTGGCTAGAACCTGTGGGAGTAACATTTCCATAACTGCCGTTTGGGAAATGGTGGTTTTAGAAAGTAGCTTTCTCATCATCAGTTGCTCTCTCTTATTGAAAGAGGATAGATAGATATGTAAACATTGTAAGCTGACTTGAGTCCCAGGCCTAGGAAAAGTGTGGGATATGGAATCATAGAATAAAAGAGTAGGAAGAGACCCCAAAGGTCATCCAGTCCAGATGTGTTACCAAGCAGGAATACACAATCTAAGCCACTCTTTGTTTAAAGAAGAGAGTCTGCCATCATCCATTCCAACATGAATGTTTCCATCTTGGAAGTTCATAGAATCCTGAAGTTTGAGAAGATCCCAAGGGCCACCTAGTCCAACCCCATTCTCCTATACAGGAAGACCCAGTCCAAGCCCTCCCAACAGATATCCACCCAGCCTCTCTTAAAGACCTCCAGAGAAAGGGACTCAACCATCATCCATTCCATGTTGAAGAGTCATAAATTTGTAGAGAAGACTCTGAGGACAATCAAGTCCATCTCCATTCTGCCAGGCAGGAAGACACAACCCAAACCCTTCCAACAGATGGTCATGCAGCATCTGTTTAAAGACCTTCAGAGAAGGAGAGTCCACCATCATCCATTCCAACTTGAGTATTATCATCTTGAAAGTTCACCATAGAATCCATCCATTCCAACCCCCTTTTGCCATAGAGGGAAATGCATCTTCTCTATTGACCACAATGCAATAGAATTTATTTATGCAATGGTTTTGACACCAACTAGTCCATCCTCCAGGAAAGAAAGCCCGACTGCTCACTGGAGGGAAGGAGACTAGAGAGACAGCAAAGCCTAGAGAAGACAATGATGCTGGGGAAAGTGGAAGGCAAAAGGAAGAGGGGCCGACCAAGGGCAAGATGGATGGATGGCATCCTTGAAGGGACTGGACTGACCTTGAAGGAGCTGGGGGTGGTGACGGCTGACAGGGAGCTCTGGCGTGGGCTGGTCCATGAGGTCACGAAGAGTCGGAGACGACTGAACGAATGAACAACAACACTCAACATACATCTCCCATCAACGCTTTTCTTGGGGGCCCACATCTCATCTCAATATGCCTCTGAAATCCCCTTGTCTCCCCGTCTTTAAAGAGAGTTACCATCCAACTTTTTTAAAAAGACCTCCAAAGAAAAGGACAGTTCACCACCATCTATTCCAACTTGAATGAATGTTTCCATTTTGAAACTTCAGAGAGTCATAGATATTCATAGGGTTGGAAGAGGCCAGAAGGTTGAAGAGCTCTTGGCTTACACTCACTCCACAAATGCATCAGTGACCAAAATAATCTGCATTTCAGGTTGATATGCTTCCTAACAAAGCTTGAAAAGGGTGTGCAAATGTCATTTATTCTACCAGGAAAAAAGAATTGCTTCCAAAAAGTGTATTCCTCATGAACACAGCACAACGTCGACAGAAGGCTTCTCCTACCCAGATATTAGAAGCGAATAGGAAAAGAATAAGAACAACCATTACAGAACATGTCTGGTCAACACCTATGGTTCACAATCCACCGAGTTATCAATGCACAGCGATCCTTAGCAAGATGACAGCCATCATCAAACCAATTGCACCAATTGCACAAATAATGTGGTTATAAAGCTCATGCTCTCACAATCTTGATCAATGAACAACGCCGTTTTTCCAAAGGCTCTTGATATGGAGAGTATACATGTAACTCAGCACAATCATCTCATGAAGGTAGTTTATATATCCAGAAGTGACTCTGGGTGGCACATACGCTGCAGAATTAATGCAGCTTGGCACCACTTTAAGAGCCATGGTTCAAGGCTATGGAGTCATAAGGTCTTTTATGAGATCTTGAGCTTTCTCTGCCGAAGAGTGCTGGTGCCTCACCAAACTACAAATCCCATGCTTCCACAGCACTGAGTCATGGAAGAAGATGATTATGCTGGCTGGTGATGATTCCACAAGGAGACTCAAAGCAGCTTAGGAGACAAATACAGCCAAAATTCAAATCTAAGTTCAAAGAGATTGCTCCATTGCGTTCCTTGGCAATAGGACATTTTTCATTTCTACCTTGCAGCCAATGAATGAATGAACCTCCCTGCTTTACGAGAAGAGCATTTCACACCGCAGTGCTATGGCAATGTCACAGCTCCTTCATTTCCACTCCCGTACCCAAAGCATGGGCTTTTACACTGTAGGATTAATGCAGTGTGAACCATTGCCAAGGTCATGGCCCTGTACTGTGACTATTTTAATTCCCATTGCTCAGTGCTGTAGAAGGATGGGATCTGTAGTTTGGTGAGGCTCCAACGCCTATGTCATTGTAAAACTGCAGCTCTCGTGAATCCATAGCTACTAAACCAATATCAAACTGCATTCATTCTACGGTGTATTCCAGGCATGGGCAAACTTGGGCCCTCCATGTGTTTTGGACTTCAACTGCGGAACAATGGCTTCAAACTACAAGAAAGGAGATTCCATCTGAACTTTAGGACGAACTTCCTGACTGTGAGAGCTGTTCAGCAGTGGAACTCCCTGCCCTGGAGTATGGTAGAGGCTCCTTCTTTGGAAGCTTTTAAACAGAAGCTGGATGGCCATCTGTCGGGGGTGCTTTGAATGCAATTTTCCTGCTTCTTGGCAGAATGGGGTGGGACTGGATGGCCCATGAGGTCTCTTCCAACTCTAGGATTCTATGATTCTATCCCATAATTCCTAAGAGCCTACCAGCCCGAGTTTGCCCATGCCTGGTATAGAAGCACCCCTAGATATGCGTTATCTCAAGGTATATCTACACTAGGATTAATGCAGGTTGATTTCACTTCAGTTCCCATGGCTCAATGCTACGGAAGCCTCTAATGCAGTGGTTCTCAACCTGTGGGTCCCCAGGTGTTTTGGCCTACAACTCCCAGAAATCCTAGCCATTTTACCAGCTGTTAGGATTTCTGGGAGTTGAAGGCCAAAACATCTGGGGACCCACAGGTTGAGAACCACTGGTCTAATGTATAGTTTGGTAAAGCACTAAAATTTTGGCAGAGAAGGCTAAAGTCTTTGCAAAATTTCCGGCTGTTAGGAAATGTGGGAGTTGACGTCCAACACACCTGGAGGACCCAAGTTTGCCCATGCCTGGTGTATACACACCCTTGCATAAATGGAAAGAGAGACATATTTCTCCTACCTGGTGGCCAGAGATGTTCAGGTGTTGCATCTTTGCTGTTGCTCCATGCTTAATTCCAAGTTCTGGAGTAGCTGAGATGGAGAACCTCAAAACCCCATTGAAGGCTTGGTGGCCAATGTTCTCCTTAAGCGTCCGGACACATTTAGAGCAGGATTGGCTTGGGACAGAGGAGACAGAGGAGGCGGAAAGCATCCAGCCCCATTTCTCCTGCTAACAAAGCATCAGGCAGGGTGTTACTCACTGGAAATTGCGGGGATAGGAAGACAAGTCCTGCCCGTTCTGGGTGTCTACCAAGCTCTCCTTGGGCATGTCCTTACCTGCAGCTCAGAACGGAAGGAGGAGGTAGAATACATTTCAGACAAGAGCTGAGATCAGCAGGGCTGGGTTTTGGAGTCGGGTTGTAGTAAAGCCTGCCTTGGAGAAAGCTTGTGCTTCAAAACCTGGTTTATGCCCCCAATGAGAACTTCTCACCTGGAGAGATGGGGTGGGTGATGCTGCGGCTTTGTCAGAGGGCTTTAGCGCCTTTGCAGCGACAATCGGGAGGAAGTTAAGAGAGCCTGATTTCAAGCCATGACTCGTTCCCCCCCAAAGAAAAGGAAGGAGCAGCTGGGGATTATGGAGCCAAGGAGGAATGTGGTTTGCTTGGTTCTGAGCGCTGCAGAAGGAAGAGTCGAGCGATGACAGATGTGCAATTGTGGTTCCTTCATGTCTAATACAAAAGGCTCAATGGAAGCTCCCTTTGTCACCCAGATTCAGAACTGCGGAAGCCACCCTAAGCTTGCTAATTTCTTCGGCGCTCAACAAATAGATGTCAGAGCCTTTGACTTAGCTTCTGGAGGACTCCTGTTCCTTGTAGGGCTTTAAAGACATTTCCGAGAAAGAGATTTGGAAGACGCTGACAGGGAGGAAGGGGAATCCAGAAAGCAGTGTGTTTCTATATTTTTATTTTGCTGTATTGTATCTTTGGGCTTGGCTTCATGTTAGCCGCCCCTGAGTCCATTAATCACCACTAATCATCTAATCACCTCTCAACAAAAGATTGCCCCAGGCACCAACAAGCCACACCAAACAACTGCCAGGCTATCAAATGCTAATCAAGGTGGTCAGTTGAAACATTCACACCACGCTCCAGCAGACAAGAGTTCTTTGTCCCACCCTGGTCATTCCACAGATATATAAACCCATTTTCCTAGTTCCAACAGACCTCACTACCTCTGAGGATGCTTGCCATATTATTATTATTATTATTATTATTATTATTATTATTATTATTATTTCGTATACTTCTACCCCGCCCTTCTCAACCCCCAAGGGGGGACTCAGGGCGGCTTACAAAATGGCACAATTCGATGCCTACACAGTAATACAATAAACGTATAAAAACAGCAGTTAAATGGTTAAACAATTAAAACAATATATATCACAGGCAATAGCCAATCTCAAGCACAGTGTTTGCCAACTCAGAGTCCATACTTCGTTCTACATTGTCTATTCCTATCCGTCGTCGCAGTCCTTTATTTATCTGCCAGATTGCCCAAACGCCTGGTCCCACATCCATGTTTTTAATTTCTTTCTGAAGGAAAGGAGGGATGTCGCTGGTCTAATTTCCCTGGGGAGTGAATTCCATAGGTGAGGGGCCACCACTGAGAAGGCCCTGCTCCTCGTCCCCGCCAGTCTCACTTGTGACAGAGGCGGGCAGAGAGCAGGGCCTCCCCAGAGGATCTCAAACTCCGAGGTGGGACATAGAGGGAGATGCGTTCGGACAGATACGCTGGGCCGGAACCGTATAGGGTTTTGTAGGTCAAAACCAGCACTTTGAATTGTGCTCGGAACTGGATCGGCAGCCAGTGGAGCTGACACAACAGAGGGGTGGTATGTTCCCTGTATGACGCTCCTGTGAGCAATCTGGCTGCCTCCCGCTGTGCTAATTGAAGTTTCCGAACAGTCTTCAAAGGCAACCCCATGTAGAGTGCGTTGCAGTAATCTATCCGGGATGTAACAAGAGCGTAGACCACCGTGGCCAGATCCGACTTCCCAAGGTATGGGCGCAGCTGCCGCACAAATTTTAATTGTGCAAAAGCTCTCCCGGCCACCGCTGAGACCTGGGATTCTAGGCTCAGTGATGAGTCCAGGATCACTCCCAAGCTGTGAACCATAGATGCAGGCGAAACGTCAGGAGAGAATGCCTCTAGAACATGGCCATATAGCCCGAAAAAACCTACAACAACCCAGTGATTCCAGTCATGAAAGCCTTCAACAATACATCAAACATCATTTGTTTGGAATTAATTCAGGAAGAGAAGGAAAGCGAGGTGAACAGCATCCACCCAAACATCCAATTCACCATGGAAAAAGAAAATGAAGGAAGACTGCCTTTTCTAGATGTCCTAGTCATCCGCAAACCAGATCAACAATTGGGTCACACCGTTTACAGAAAACCCACACACACAGATAGATATCTACATAAAAACTCCAACCATCACCCAAGTCAAAAAAGAAGCACCATTCAAGCCTTGGCAGACCGTGCAAAAAGAATCTGCGAAGCCCACCTTCTCCATGAACTGAACCACCTCAACTGGGCTCTACAGGCCAATGGATACTCCACCTCAGACATCAGAAGAGCTGCAAGACCAAGAACAAGCCACGAGAGTAAAGACAAAGATCCACCCAGAGGAAAAGTGTTCTTGCCATACATCAAGGGAACCACTGAGCATAGGGAAGCCGATGAGGAAACACAACATACAAACCACCAAGAAAATCCAACAAATGCTACGTTCAGCAAAGGACAAGAGGGATCCTCTCACTTCTACAGGAGTCTGCGATATACCATGCAGCTGTGGACAAGTCTACATAGGGACCACCAAACGCAGCAGCATTGCCCAGACACGAATCAAGGAACATGAAAGGCACTGCAGACTATTCAACCAGAGAAGTCAGCCATAGCAGAGCACCTGATGAACCAACCTGGACACAGCATATTATTTGAGAACACAGAAATGCTGGACCACTCACAACCACCATGTCAGACTACACAGAGAAGCCATTGAAATCCACAAGCATGTGGACAATTTCAACAGAAAGGAAGAAACCATGAAAATGAACAAAATCTGGTTACCAGTATTAAAAACCTAAAATTACAGCAGCAAAACAACAGAGGGGAAACAAACAGGCACATGAAATCACTCTCAACAAAAGATTCCCCCCAGGCGCTTCCAAGCCATTGAATGCAAATCAAGGTGATCAGCTGAAACATTCACAGCTAGCCCCAGCAAACAAAAGTCCTTTGTCTCACCCTGGTCATTCCACAGATATATAAACCATTTTCCTAGTTCCAACAGACCTCATTACCTCTGAGGATGCTTGCCATAGATGCAGGCGAAACGTCAGGAGAAAAATTGCCTCCAGAACATGGCCATATAGCCCGGAAAAAACCCACAACAACCCATGGATTCCGGCCATGAAAGCCTTCGACAATACAAAGAGAGGAAATTTCGCCTTCCCAGATGACTCAGACAAAAGCAAACTGCTACAAACTCTCCACACTTGTCTGTACTTTCCCTTTAAGAATCTCAGTGTCCTGTTTTTCATTTCCAAACTGCCGAAAATTACACCATGCTCTAAAAGTAATAAGTCTGCCCTTTGGCTTTGGGAACATGAAGAACACAATCCACAACCCTGGCTGGCTGAGCTGACTTCCCTCCCTCCATTGTGGAAAGAAATGATATTTCTCTTCCTTTGAGCTCTATATCTTGAGCTGACTCACTTAAGACATTTGGTTTTCCGTGTCTCTGGTCAAATGAGCGGAGCCAAAACCTACACAGCTTCGAGGCGAGGAAAAGGTCGGGTTTGGCAGCCTTGTCGCCGTTTTGCTGACAAAGGCTCTGTCCAGTGGGAAAGGAGTCAATTTCACTGTGGCAAGAAATAAAATCATTATGTAACCACCTCCTGGGATCCAACTCAGCCCTGAATGCCTCTCAACGTGGTATGGGATCAGCCGGCCTCTTCCTCCAGCTTTGGCTCCATTGGCCAAGAGGGAAAAGGAGCTGGGAGGGTCCCTGTGCCAAATGTATGGCGTGTGTCCACACCCCACAATTGCTACACAACGGAAAAAGAGAAAAACATCCAAATTGCATACATACAGGAGGTTTTCTTGCCAGGATTGAGGTTGAAAAGGATAGTGGACTGAAGAAAGGGAGTGAGGCCATCCCTGGTGAGACAAAAGATCTCTCTGATCAACAGCCATTCAATCAAGTCTGTCACAATGGGGGACAATGCCTGGCTCGAGAGCAGGACGTGTGAAAAAGATCTTGGAGTCCTCGTGGACAACAAGTTAAACATGAGCCAACAATGTGATGCGGCGGCAAAAAAAGCCAATGGGATTTTGGCCTGCATCAAGAGGAGCCTAGTGTCTAGATCTAGGGAAGTCATGCTCCCCATGCTCTATTTCGCTTTGGTTAGACCACACCTGGAATATTGTGTCCAATTCTGGGCACCACAATTCAAGAGAGATATTGACAAGCTGGAATGTGTCCAGAGGAGGGCGACTAAAATGATCAAGGGTCTGGAGAACAAGCCCTATGAGGAGCGGCTTAAGGAGCTGGGCATGTTTAGCCTGAAGAAGAGAAGGCTGAGAGGAGATATGGTAGGTTAATTCGTTCAGTCGTCTCCGACTCTTCGTGACCTCATGGACCAGCCCATGCCAGAGCTCCCTGTTGGCCGTCACCACCCACAGCTCCTTCAAGGTCAGTCCAGTCACTTCAAGGAGATATGATAGCCATGTATAAATATGTGAGAGGAAGCCACAAGGAGGAGGGAGCAAGCTTGTTTTCTGCTTCCCTGGAGACTAGGACACGAAACAATGGCTTCAAACTACAAGAAAGGAGATTCCATCTGAACATGAGGAAGAACTTCCTGGCTGTGAGAGCCGTTCAGCAGTGGAACTCTCTGCCCCGGAGTGTGGTGGAGGCTCCTTCTTTGGAAGCTTTTAAACAGAGGCTGGATAGCCATCTGTCAGGGGTGATTTGAATGCAATATTCCTGCTTCTTGGCAGAATGGGGTTGGACTGGATGGCCCATGAGGTCTCTTCCAACTCTTTGATTCTATGATTCTATGACTGTGGTCAGAAAAAAAGAGATGCAAAGCTTTGGATAATAATAATAATAATAATAATAATAATAATAATAATAATAATAATGCCATAAACATCTGGGCAATACCTGTCATAAGATATACTACTGGCA